TAGGGTTAGGTTTAGGGTTAGGTTTAGGGTTAGGTTAGGTTAGGATTAGGGTTAGGGTTAGGGTTAGGTTTAGGGTTAGGTTTAGGGTTAGGTTAGGTTAGGATTAGGGTTAGGGTTAGGGTTAGGTTTAGGGTTAGGTTTAGGGTTAGGTTAAGGGTTAGGATTAGGGTTAGGGTTAGGGTTAGGTTAAGGGTTAGGTTTAGGGTTAGGTTTAGGTTTAGGGGTTAATTTTAGGTTTAGCGTTTACAGCGTGCTTCTGTCTCCGCGCTGTTGTCGCCCTGTGATGACGTCAGCTACGCGATTTCGTCGAGCGCGCTTTAGTCGAACGCAGTTTTGTGGTGGAACCCCACTGAGGAAGGCTATAAGTAGCATATGTTTGGAGTATTGCAAGTTATTGTGGATATTCTGGACCAGATCTTCCTCCAGGGATGCTAGCAGTGAGTGGTAACATTCAAAAGCAGGGACCTTCCAGCAACAGGCCAGATCTCGATTACATTGGCCTCCTCTAAAGTTGTGTCCCCAGGTTTGCATGGTATGCTGGACTGCTGTAGTTACCAGGCTGCATAGGCACTAATGCCGAAAAGAGAGGATCAGTTTATACCCAAACAGTTTAAGAGTTTTATGAAATTTTGTTGTGCCGTCCTAGTCAATCATATCCTGCAACATAAAAAAAAAAAAAGGAAGGTAACATAGGATTAAGTTTTTCTGGTCACCTGCAGATTTTCTGCAGCCAGAGCATTTGGATTATTGAGATGCCGCTTTATGACCAGTACACTGCAGATATTTTAATTCAAACCTCTTCCCTTCTCAGGCGCTATTTTTTTTTCTTCCCCACCCCATGTATGGATAAGAAAGATAAGTTTTTCCCTGTCTGCAGTGGCTGCAATTCCAACTGAGCCACTGAAGTTTTTATATTTTTTCTGCATAGTTTTTAAAAAAAGAACAATTATTCAGCCTTTTGAAAGATAGAGGGCTGCCAGAAACTGCTATTCTAACCTGCACAAATGGTTATTGATTGTCTGCTATAGCTTCACCAGGTACGTAATTAGCCTGGAGAGTAGCAGACTTGGTCACTATTAGCATGCAGGAAAGACTTTGAGAAAGGACTTAGCTCTATAAGGGTCATCAAGATATCTGTGAGGGCGTCAGAATTTCCAAGATGATAGGCAAAGGAACCTGGTCGAGACCTTGCCCCTTTTATACACACATATAAAAGAGGTGGGGCTTGTCTTGCAAGGCCACGCCCACCATCTTGCAAATTTGGATCCCCCGTGTACCTTCACTTCTACATGCATTGTCCTTAGGAAAGGAGCTGCTTAATTCTTGTGGCATCTTCTTCCCATGGCACATTTGCCAAACTAAACGAAGAGTTACAGCAGTATTTATGTGGTGGAATGTAGCTTGGATTCCCAAGAGGGAGGGGCCGCATTCCAGAGGAGCAAGAGGCAGTGAAGTTTAGAGAGTTTGGTTGGGAGGAAGAGGCTGAAGACGGCTCCTCCCTAGAAGTTCTCATGGTGTATCTTTATTGAGGCAATAGTTTGCTTTAGTTTGGCAAGAACTCTGTCTGTAGGTGAGGAACAATAAAGAAAACTGGTTTGGAGTAACTCTGCGTGTGTTTCTTGGTTTTGGAGTTTCTCAATTGTGGCTACATTTTTTTAAATTTTAAATTATTTTTATTTATAATACTTTTCATATCCATCAAACAGTGTGTGAATTGGGTACAATTATTTGATGGTTCATACTCCACATATTTGTTATTATATTCATTGCAATAACATTGGTAATATAACTATATATCAAGATAATTACAATAATGCATAATATCATCATAAACTTCTCTCCAGAGTAACATTTTCTCTTCTTATATCTCCTCCTTCCTAACTTCAGTTTCTATTCTCTAGCCATTGATAAAATACATCCCACGTCAAAAAATATTCAGTTTCTTCTCTGTCCTGGATAATAAGCATTAATCTGTCCATTTCTGCGCATTCCGTTATTTTCTGAATCACCCTCTCGTCTGACAGGATCTCCTCACTCTTCCACTGTTGTGCAAATAAAATCTTATCCGCAGCCAATACATGTAAAATCAAATATATAGTCTTTTTGTCCTATTTTTCGGGTAGGATGCCCAACAAAAATGTCTCTGGTCTCAGTTCAATATGCTTCTTTGTCATTTTTTCCAACCAAATATGTATTTTCGACCAACATTTTTTAGTTTTGGGACACATCCACCACATACGGTAATCGTGGCTACATTAAGATCAGTGGTGGGTTTCCAATTTTTTTACTACCAGTTCGCTCGTGTATGTGTGCATGCTCACGCGTGCGCGCAACACTTCTGCGTGTGCATAGAAGCATCCAAGTGGTGGGCGGAGCCTGCCACCACTGTTACTAACAGTTCACCCAATCTGGCCCGAACTGGGAGCAACACACCTCTGATTAAGATGTGTAAATTTCAACTCTCAGAATTCTTCAGCCAGCATACTAGCTGCAGAATTCTGGGAGTTGGAAGTCCACACATCTTAACCTGGGCAAGATTGAGAAACATTGATACAGGAACTGGACAATGTGATATGGAGTGTGGAGCCGAGGTGGCGCAGTGGTTAGGGTGCAGCACTGCAGGCCACTTCAGCTGACTGTTATCTGCAGTTCAGCGGTTCTAATCTCACCGGCTCAAGGTTGACTCAGCCTTCCATCCTTCCGAGGTGGGTGAAATGAGGACCCAGACTGTGGGGGCGACATGCTGACTCTGTAAACCGCTTAGAGAGGGCTGAAAGCCCTATGAAGCAGTATATAAGTCTAACTGCTATTGCTATTGCTAACAATAGATAATAAATATGTACATAGTCTGATCAATGGGCTCTGCGTTTTTTAAAATTGGCACATACGGTATATGGAGATGCCCTGTTTGTCTAGGGAAGATGTATATATGAGACAATGGAGTAGATAATGGAGTAAAAAAAATTGAATTTCACCACTGCTTGAAGAAACGGAGGCTGCAAAAAAGGGGAGGGCAACTGCGTGGGAAGAAAATGCGAGAGTTCCTCTCCAACTACTCTTTTCTGTTGAATTCTGCACTGTCTGTCCTTTGCATCTGTTGCCAGCCTCTTAATATTATGCCGTCTATAGATCAGAGGGCTTTATAAATAAGCACAATGTGGCAAAAGGGTGATCAATTAGCTCCATCAAGGAAGAGCAGAGGAGCAGCTTCCATTTGGCTTAATTAAAACTGGCAAAGAGTGGCTCCATTAAGCAGCACCTCCACAGAGATCCATGTTAGTTTGCGTGTTTTCAGAATAGCAGCCCATTTCCTCAGTCTCAGGCTTCCTATTTTTGGAGCAAACTTAAAGCTAATCAGGGAGAGGTTGGCTTTTAAAAAATAATAATTCTGCAGCTATGGAAACTCAAGGTCATTTTTGAGAATGGTTTCTGAATTCCTACGTCTTGTTAAATTACAGTTAAGAGAACGAAACAATTGCTGGATTCACCCATAACATCACACTGTCAGCCTTGGTTCAGGAAAAAAAACCACCCAGTGGCTGAGTTCATACAATAGCAATAGCAGTTAGACTTATATACCGCTTCATAGGGCTTTCAGCCCTCTCTAAGCAGTTTACAGAGTCAGCATATTGCCCCCAACAACAATCCGGGTCCTCATTTTACCCACCTCGGAAGGATGGAAGGCTGAGTCAACCCTGAGCCGGTGAGATTTGAACAGCCGAACTGCAGAACTGCAGTCAGCTGAAGTAGCCTGCAGTGCTGCATTTAACCACTGCGCCACCTCGGCTCTACTAAACCTTAGCCCAGGGGTGAAATGCTACTGGTTCGGACCGGTTTGCCTGAACCGTTAGTAAAAAAAAATGCTGGTAGTTCCGACGATCAGCTGTACGACAATCAGCTGTGCCGCACGATTTATTTAATCCTGCTTTCTAGTGAATCTAAATCGCGCTGCACAGCTGCATGATAGCCCCTGCGGTGGGCATGTGTGTGAAGCACGCGTTTGGTGTGCATAAGTACAAAGCATGCATGCGTGTGCAAAGCAAACCAGTAGCGAAGCGAACTGGTAGCAGACTTCAGAGCATTTCACCCCTGCCTTATCCCCATAAATGTGATTTAGTGTGGTGTGAATCCTGTTGCTGTACTGTAGTTGAAGGCTGCCTTTAGTCATTCTGTGCAGAAAAAGTGGTGCAAATTGGGTGTGTATACTTGAATGCTTGCTTTGGTGACTCCCGAAATTCAGGTTTTGGAATTACATCTGTCCCAGCTGTAGTAAAGCCACCCTGGAAAACATACATAATCTGATCAATGGGATCTGCATTTTTTAAAATTGGCACATATATGGAGATGCCCTGTTTGTCTAGGGGAGATCTATATATGAGACAATGGAGTAGATCTGCAGCCCCCAGCTTGGTGGCATCCTTCTCTGAATGAATACACTCTTTGCCCCATTAGAAAGCATGTGGCAGAGGATTCCTATAGCCATGTGATGGCTTTTAACATGTGGCTTTCTTTTGAACATCTCTGCCCTCAGGTTCAAACTACGAAGGCAAACGCCAAATGAAGGTTAGCAACAAACGCACTGTCTTTTTGCCTCCTGAGCTGCTACTGTCCACCTACCTGGAGCAAATGAGCTGATACCAGCAGAAAATGATGTCCCTGTCCCACTCCCCGGGCCTGCTTTGGAGATGTCTGCTTTCATTGCTTTTCAGTACTCAACACCAATCACATTACACGGGGTTCGGTTCTCCCATCTTCATGCCAAACTTGCAGACTGATATCCTGTTCCGGAATTGAGACCTTGATGCCATTCACAGGTTGTATATGGTTGCCTAGCAACTGTCCATCTTTCCTCTTTGCTGCTTCAACACTTAGAAGGCCGCAAAGGTGGGAGTGGAAGCAGTTGTCTTAAATCCAGATAGGGAGATCTGTTAACATCCAGGCACCATAAAACTACAAATCCCAGCATGACTTGCTTTTGGCCATCTCCAAGCTGGGCCTTCTGACTGAGCAACTGAGGGAGGCCAAAGCAGGGAGGAGCCCCCACCCCATAACAAATAATAGTTCAAATATTTTGTTTTGCTTAGGTTATGATATGCTGCAGACCAATCCCATCATCCCCAACCATCACCAGCAATTATCTTGTTGGTTGGAGTGATGGAGGCTGTAGTCCACCATGAGTGTTTTGTGAATAGAGAGCCGGTGTGTAAATTGAAATAATGAGTAAACAGTGTGACATATTGACCATAGCACATTGGGGTGGGTGGATTATTGTAATCAATTTCTCATGTCCAAATATTGCTTAAAAGGACTCACTTTTTCCATGGGGGATTAATATAAATTCAGAAGTTCCTCACTTCCAATTCCTTTATCATTTTAACCCTTAAAAACTCCACAAAAATGTTAGGTCTTCGTTCTGAAAGATTCAGCAACACTCAACTCAAATGAGTAAATATGTCACATTTCTCTCTGACAAGTTTAAAGTTTCTCCAGCATGGAAGGATTTATATTCCTTGCAGACATCCCTTTAGAGGGTCGCTGAAGCACTTGGAGGTTTATCTGTGTCCTCGGGGTCACCTGAATAATGCAATTTTTTTTCCTCTGGAAATCCATTCCTACTCCCACACCCTCTAAAAGGATGCAAATGACCAGCTGTCTGCAAGGAATATAAATCCTTTCATTCCCCACTATCCTGTCAGAGCTGAAGAAGCTTCTTGGAGAGAAGCGAAACGTCTTCGAAAGAAAAAAAAACAAGAAAGTCCAGTTGCCTCCTGAAAAAAACACTTTTGGGACAACCATGAGCTGGATGACTGAGAATCTCTACAGACTGTTCTTTAGATGGTGTCCTGATTTAGGTAGGACGGAATTAAAAAGAAAGAACTATTTTTAATAAAGCTGCCGTTAAAATAAATTTGGATGCCATTGGTCATCTAAGCAGCTTTTCTTTGCACTAATGGGGATGGTTTATGTAAAACTGAACTGCCTGAGGTTGCTACCTTTATTTCCCTTTGCATTTGCTTCAGGTTCAAATGCCTGTTGATCTTAAATTCGATTCTCGGCACGATTAGTCACAAGGCAGACCTATCTCCTAGGACAGGGGTCGGCAACCTTAAACACTCAAAAGAGCCATTTGGACCCGTTTCCCACAAAAAAAGAAAACACCGGGAGCCACAAAACCCTTCCAGTGCCTGACTATTCCTTAGTGGCCACGAAAATAGCATACGTAGTTGAATTAAATGTTCTGTTTTCTTCTGAAACTTTTATTGGATTTATCCATGGTTTTGCCTACCGGGGGTCAAAAAGCTCAATAAATCGTATGCTGATGGAGGTTGCAAATTGGCGGTTGTGATGCACATTTTGAGTGGCAGGGAGCCGCAGCAGAAAGAGCCACATGTGGCTCCAGAGCCGCAAATTGCCGAGCCCTGTCCTAGGACTTGCTGTCAAATAGGCAGATATAGAATACTATATTGAGTCCATTTTTTAAAAAGTTCTTACTTGAATGATTGGATATTTTTAAACAGCTAATTTGCACTCTAAAAAGCCATGCTGATATTTTTTTAAAAAATGATGATGTGGGTTTGCAAACGCTCCAGATCAATTGAGAATCTTGTTCGTGACCTTTATCTTTCCACCTCCTAATATGGCTCTTGTTACAGCAGGTTTATATTAGCTGTGTTCTTTTGTATTTATGAAGCAGGTAGGCATGAACTCCCATAACCCAGCTGAACAAAATAATCAGAGGGATCTGCAGGATCAGAGGCTTTCATCAAAATGGCAAAATGGGCATCGCAGTACAGGTAGCTCCCGCGTTACAACCATAGTTACAACCATGATGAGCTACGGTGTCACAGTGGTTAGAGTGCAGTACTGCAGGCTAGATCTGCTGATCACCGGCTGCCAGCAGTTTGGCAGATCGGATGTCACCAGGCTCAAGGTTGGCTCAGCCTTCCATCCTTCTGAAGTGATTAAAATGAGGACCCAGATTGTTGGGGGCAAAATGCTGAATCTATAAACCACTTAGAGAGGGCTGTCAAACACTGTGAAGCGGTATATAAATGTAAACGCTACTGCTATAATGGAGTAAAAAAAAATTGAATTTCACCACTGCCTAAGAATGTTGGATTTTGAAAAAAAAAGACGAAACGGAGGCTGCAAAAAAGGGGAGGGCAACTGCGTGTGAAGAAAATGTGAGAGTTCCTCTCCAACTACTCTTTTCTGTTGAATTCTGCACTGTCTGCCCTTTGCAGCTTTTGCCAGCCTCTTAATATTATGCTGTCTATAGATCAGAGGGCTTTATAAATAAGCACAATGTGGCAAAAGGGCGATCAATTAGCTCCATCAAGGAAGAGCAGAGGAGCAGCTTCCATTTGGCTTAATTAAAACTGGCAAAGAGTGGCTCCATTAAGCAGCACCTCCACAGAGATCCATGTTAGGTCGCGTGTTTTCAGAATAGCAGCCCATTTCCTCAGTCTCAGGCTTCCTATTTTTGATGCAAACTTACAGCTAATCAGGGAGAGGTTGGCTTTTTAAAAAATAATAATTCTGCAGCTATGGAAACTCAAGGTCATTTTTGAGAATGGTCTCTGAATTCCTACGTCTTGTTAAATTACAGTTAAGAGAACGAAACAATTGCTGGATTCACCCATAACATCACACTTGTCAGCCGTGGTTCAAAAAAAACCCTCCACCCAGTGGCTGAGTTAATACAATCTACTAAACCTTAGCCCAGGGGTGAAATGCTATCGGTTCGGACCGGTTTGCCTGAACCGTTAGTAAAAAAAAATGCTGGTAGTTCCGACGATCAGCTGTGTAGTTCCATCGATCAGCTGGTAGTTCCGATGATCAGCAGTGCGACAACCAGCTGTGTCACGTTATTTATATAATCCTGTTTTCTAGCGAATCTAAATCACGTGGCACAGCTATCATCCCCATCCGTCCCTCCCCACTGTTCTACTTATCTTTGCAGACTCAGAAAAGGGTTCTTAGTCCTCCTTTTTCAGTGCTGCGTGGTAGCACCTGTGGTGGGCATGCGTGCGAAGCATGCGCATGAAAAGCAAACCAGTAGCGAAGTGACCTGGTAGCAGACTTCAAAGCATTTCACCCCTGCCTTAGCCACATAAATGTGATTTAGTGTGGTGTGAATCCTGTTGCTGTACTGTAGTGGAAGGCTGCTGTTGGTCATTCTGTGCAGAAAAAGTGGTGCAAATTGGGTGTGTGTACTTGAATGCTTGCTTTGGTTACTCCAGGAATTCAGGTTTTGGAATTACATCTCTCCCAGCTATAGTAAAATCACCCTGGAAAATCTTTTTTAATGTTAGCAGAACCCCAATGAAATGAGGTTGTTATTTTTTAAAAGTCACTTTCAAAATCCTGCCTCAAATCCACCTTCCCCAATCTGGCCACTTGTGCAAAATGTAACATAGTGTCTCCCCCCCCCCCTACATATACATATCCATGTACATTAATGTGTATATATTAAGAATTAATTTCAGTTCTTCAAATTGCTAGGGATTAACTGACAGAGATGGAAACCAACCTTCTTATTGATATAAAGGATCTGAAATGCTCATACAAGGTTACTGGAGTTTTTATCACGATTATAATTTAGGTTTGAAATTAATGGTTCCACCACAAAACTGCGCTCGACTAAACCGCGCCCGACTAAACCGCATCGCTGACGTCATCAACAGGGCGACAACAGCGCGGAGACAGAAGCACGCTGTAAACCATAAACCTAAAATTAACCCCTAAACCTAAACCTAACCACCTTAAACCTAATCCTAAACCTAACCCTAAACCTAACCCTTAACCTAACCCTAAACCTAACCCTTACCTTAAGTTGAATCGGCTTGCTTTCAAAGTGCTATTTAAAGCGCCCTTCTTTCTCCGCGCTGGCTGTTGTCGCCCTGTTGATGACGTCAGCGACGCGGTTTAATCAGGCGCAGCTTAGTCGAGCGCGGTTTTGACGGGTCACGGAAATTAATAATCTGATGCCATCAAATGTGGTTCAGGTTGACTGGTTGTTTAACATCCTTTAGTCTTGCAAACCAAGTGTAAACTACCGGACTACAGAAAAACAAGAAAATCCCCATAAACCATCTGTTGGCTAAACGAGGCCTGGAAAGAAGGGGAATATTTGAAATGAGAGGTCCTTGGTGCTCTTTGTAAGAAGGTAAATATTTAAACAGAGAAAAAAACATTCTTTTAAATAACACCTGGTGGTTTTTCTGCTTTCCTCTGAGCATCCAATGTTCTAATCTCACCAAATTCATCCCCAAAACGTTCAGTCTGAAGTGTTAAATTTACCCTGATTTTTTTAAAAAAAATACTTGTTCAGTCTGAAGACTTCTGAACCTGATTCTACCGTAGTCTATCTTGACGGGGAAATTCCTATTTGGTTCTCAGCATTCTGATAATTGATACTGTTTTCCCTTTGGAGTGAAAGATTTCTGCCCCCTCCACCTTGTTCCATTTAATGCCACTTGGGAGTCCTCTCAAATAAAGGAAAATCACTTGCACAATAATTTCTTGCCATGATATTGGTCGTGTGCCTTGGCAGTAACCAATTCAGGGCTTCAACAGAGCAGGAGGGTTCAGGGATGCAAGTAATTCTTGTCTTATGACTGTTCATTTAACAAACATTCATCATTATGAAGGTGCTGAAAAAAAGTAACAAAAATGTCCTTGCACTTATAGTTCCCCATGGTCATGCGATTGAGATTTGGGCACTTGGCAACTGCCATATATTTACAACAGTTGCAGAATCCCTGGGGCACGTGATTGCCATTTACCACCTTCCCAGCCAACTTCCAACATACACACAGTCTCTGGGGAATAGCCAGATTTGCTTAACAACCATGACAAAAAAAGATAAAATTGGGCACCACTCACTTAATGACCTCATCACTTAATAACAGATCACCTATCCTTATTGGGGGGTTGTAAGTATCCATTCTAAATTGGAGAACTCCAAAAATCCCTGCCGAATTGCTTGCTACTTGAAAAAAGAAGACTGCCTTTTAAATCTCTAGTAAATTATTTAACAGCTTAATCTCCTGTCAGTGAAAGATAAATCAGAATACATTTCTTTTGAGGAAGCCTTCCGTCCTAGTTCTGATTTATGGGACTCTTCTTCTGGTTTGTGAATTTTCTTACACACTCAGAAATGTAAAAAAAAAACAAAACCCAAAGTGTTGTGTTATTTTATTTTAATCATTGTCTAGCCATAAGACTCGTATTGTGAATATTCTGCTTCTTAAGAAATGTGTGCTTATTGATGATTTACAATGTGAGGGTTCATTTTGAAATGAAGACTTTGTTTTTCTTTTTGCTTAAAAAAAAAATTCTCTTGGCTTTTACCATAGGGTGGAAAAATGCTTGAGTGAGGAAGGGTAAGAGCAGTCCATTGCTTTTGTGAAAATCATTTGTAATTTTTAGCAAGCAGTAAATCTTTGCACTTTGGAAGATACCACTTGTTTCCATGTGTAAAAGTCCCTATATGAGAAATGAGGTGTAGAATTTCCATGTAGAAATTTACTCTTGTAAATACTTGACTAGAAGCTACCAGCT